ACACACACACACACACACACACACACACACACACACACACAGCAGAGCTAGAACTCTAGCCTTGACCAAAAAAGTTCAGGGACAGTGAGTGCCCAAGCCTAGAGTTCAAGCTCCAAGACCTGCACACATACAAACATGCCAAGTTAAACTCTGGCCTGGGGCGCTGTCCCTCAGCTCTTCAGCTCAAGGTTAGTGCTCTACCACTTAAGCCACAGTGCCACTTCCAGCTTTAACTGCTTATGTGGTGCTAAGGAATCAAACCTACAGCCTCTACCACTGAGCCACTTTCCCAGCCCCAACACACACACACACACAAAGTTTTACAAATGGCTTTGAACCTCTATCCTCATCTCAGTCTTCAGAGTAGCTAGGATTATAGGTATGAACCACTTGTACTCTGATAAGATTTTTTTTTTGGTAAATGTATCTCAGTTATACAAATACGTTACTTTTCTCTAATTCAACTCCTTTGATTCTGAGTCTCTACCTGCTTGCTGAAAATATTCTCTTACTCATTTCCAGGTAAATTTGGTCCTCCTCCTCCCCCTCTCCCTTCCTCCAGCTTCAAAGATTGATCTAAATTTAGAGTTTCTCAGCACCACAGCCTAGGTGGGATCCAGTGGGAGGGGCTGCTCAAGGAGCACTGTCTCTCAGATGACTCTTACTGGGACCTGCACCTCCATGGCTTACATGTGCTCCCATTTCCACCCTGCTGGGCCCAGGATCCACTGGCAAAAGCAATTTAGCAGTTTTCCAAGCCACACTCCCTGGCCTAGGTTCCCCAACTTTATCTGGAGCAAACCCTGCTTGTTTGTACCTACCTCCTTCTAACCCTTCCAGTTTTATATCCAGACCCTTAGGCTTTTGAACTTAAAAGTATGGAATTTAGTCTTGTTCTCTGAGTAGAAAGTGAAGTAGTCTCAGGGCCAAAAATCACAGGCCAGCTGCTCACAACGTGGTCTGAGGTACATACCTCCCCATCCATGAAAGTGGCTCTTTTTATTTTATTTTTATTGTCAAGTGATGAACAGAGGGGTTACAGTTACTTAAGGCAGTGTACTTCTTGTCTAACTTGTTATCCCCTCCCTCATTTTTCTCCCTCTTCCCCTCCCTCATAACCCCCCCCCCAAGTAGCTCTTTTCTTGTGATATAGGTTGAACAATCACAGCCATTCTGTGTCACTGCACAAAGTCCAGGGAGCAGGAGGGAGCCAAGAGCATCTTGTCTTATATTGGGCTGTGAGTCCCTGCACCCAGTTGCTCACTCACCTCCCCCAGACAGCTGGGAAATGACACCTTTAGTGACAGAGCCAGTCCCAGGGCTTCTGCTGGCTGGGGGATGGGGCATTGCGGTGGAGGAGGATCTCATACTCTGAGGCCCTGGGAAGGCTGGGTAGGGGAAAGAAAAAGCCAGCTTCTGTTTGTCTCAGACATGGAAAGGACCCCAGCCTTCTTCCCTCCTTGCAGGGTGTATGGAATGAGCACTCCAAGGGCCAGTAGATCTTCCTTAAAATGCCTCCTTCATCCTTAAGGCTTACTTTAGCCCACCCCACTGGATAGATAACTAGACACCTCATTGGCTCCCTCCTTTTTCTCTGAGAAGCTGGGTTAGGGTGTGTACAGATGCTGGGTCTGCTCAGAGGACCTAAAATGGAGACCAGTCAGGAGATGGGCCAGGCCTGGGATAATCTAGTATATTGTCCAGATCAAGCCATATACTGCCTACCTATTAGAGAATGGAAACTGTCAAGGTCATACCTCTGAGGCTTATCCACGTGTAACCTAGCATCCATACCTGAGTACTACAAGTGTTACGGTCCTCTTTTGGATGGAATCCCACTGGCTCCTGTGATGAAGGGCTGAACGTTCTCCTGTGGTGAGACTGGCTGACCCCTACTTGGGGGCAGAGCTAGGTTTGAACAAGTCTACAGCCACCACGTGAAGCAGTGTCCTCCTCCCTGGGGTCCTTAGCTGGCCTGACTTCAGTGAGGCCTGCTCCAGCTTTACCTGCCTCTGCCCTCGGGTCTGCTGAACTTCAACCTGTGTTGAAGGAGGGGCAGCTTTTCCCTGGTGGGGACAGGGAAGAGCCCCTGTCCTTACATCCTGGGACTCAGGGTTGGAGGCCACATAGCCTCCATTCCACCCCAGCAGCAGGTGTATCAGTATTGACCTGGCCCCACACGCATGGACCCCTTGGCATTTCCGACCCCCAGCCCATTCTAGATGCTTAGAAGCAGGTTCCCAGGTGTTGGAACCAGGGTGCAGGGGGAGGCCAGGGTGCAGGGGGAGGCCAGAGTGCAGGGAAAGACCAGGGAGAGGGGGAAAGCCAGGGTGCGGTGCGGAGGGAGAGGCCAAGATGAAAGTGGGGGGGGGAGCCTGAGG